AATTTAATGTCTCTCTGGAGTTCAGTAAATATCCCATTTCAGCTTTATGCCACGCAGCTCTAGCAGAAATGCTTGTTAGAGGTGATCAACTATTGTTTAAGGCCATTAAAAAGAGCAGGGCTTGGACAGAGGCTATACATATCCCAATAAAAATTGCCTGCTAAAAGCTCTGTAAGCACGTATCCTTTTAAACATAATACAAACCAAGAATGCACCTGCAGTTCCCCATAACTCTTCCTCATGTGACCACATAAAGTTATAATCATCCCCAATAAGGATGTGCATATAATTGTTGGGCATCCCTGCTCACCTCAGCTCCTGATACAGTTCCCACCTTCACAGGTGAGGGACACCAAGGAAATATGGAAGACCCAAAACATGCAAGACCACCAGCTCGGGAGCTTTAGCTGCAGCTGGATTAGGTTTTCATCTTAAGTGCCTGTTACTCTCTACACTAAAATCTGTTCCTGTATGTCTGTGAATGAGTCTCCCTACCATGTGCAAGGCACTTTTGAATCCAGTGAGCAAATATGGTCTCTTCATCACTAAACAGCTAAATCAAGTCATAACAGTTAGCCCTACCTTTTCAATACAAGTCTAAAGAGTCACAGCTTGCAAATATCCTGAGTGCTTTTAAGTCCACATGTCTAGCCAAAGCAAATTCATAAAAGCCATTCAGTTCTGTCATGCCCATTGCACAACAGAAAGTAATTCTTAATAAGACAAGCCAGACTATCCAAACAGAAACCAGTTTTGCCTTGAAAATGACAGAAGTAAATCTACATCCTTTATATTTAAAACCAGAATACTTTAGCCTCTCAGTGCTGCACCAAAATGCACAACACTTATGTATGGAGAGCATGTCATGCACACAAGTTTTTTCACAGTAGTTGGCTGTGCTCAAGAGCCTGGATCAGTTATTGAACAGAAACTGGAACTGTATGTCTCTCCATCTAAGGGATGAAGGCCCCAGCCTTGGAACCTGACACTGCACAAACAACAGTCTTCTCTGCAGACAAGCAGAGATTTTTACTAGTAAGAACTGTAAAAAGCTCAGGGCACAAAGAGAAGCTTTTAAGAGAAAACCAATGACTAAGTAAAGGAAAAGTTTTAATTTTAGATCAGGAACACTTTGTACGCTGAATTCCAGTAGTATTGCTTCCAGCCTATATCCCAGCATATTTGGTCTTTTACAGCACTTCCATTGTAAATTACAATCCCCTCGCAAGAGTTCAATCTGGTAAATAATTTATAATTCACTGCTCCAACAGAAGCACTCGAGCTAAGAACCTGATTAAATCACATTAGCTAAGTAGTGTGCACTAGTAATTCACTGTAGCAGGGCTTGGTGTAGTCTGGACTGCTGCAGCTGGGCAGCCACCAGACAGGTAAAAACTAAGGCCTTGCCTTATTCCCCTCTGGTGCTATGGGACTTAACTTCAATATCCTTGGGGGGAAGAATGAGCAAGGTGCAAGTATTTTATGAATTTGTGAAGACTCATAGTGAGAGTTCACCTCTAGAAACTACTGTTCAATTGTATTAAATGTAGCTAAACAAACAGACTCGAGTTTCTTCTACCCCAACAAGACCTGGGTATCTTTTTTTCACTGCCACTATTCTCCAACCTTCAGCTCACACGGGACTTGAACGTACAACAACTCCAAATTTACATGCTCTGTGACTGGCAGTCACTCCTCCTGCACAGCCTTGGAGCTACTGTTCAGTCAGAAGGATGATCAACACAAGGCAAAATGAGCTGCACAAGGAATGTAAACAGTCTGCTGATCTCCAGCACTCCTCCAATTCTACGTGGACCAAGATCTCTGTTTCACTTCACACTACCATTTATCCACTCCCTGCGAGAGAGAGTGGGAGAGAAGAGTTCAGTATTTAGCACTGCAACTTATGTTTAGCTTCTCTGGAAAGCACTGCATGGTTCAGTTCTTCTTTTAGTAAAGTACATACAGCTACCTCGGGAAGACTCTGAACTTGAGGGAAATCACATTTCATCAGCAACAGGCTGAATTTGGAATTAATTATATCACTAACCAATCTTCTAATCACTTAAAGCCATATTAATTAATTAAAAAGGCTACAGGTACAAACAGTACACAGATTGACTTAAGCTACAGAAAGATTCAACTCAGGATCACTGAAACACAGCACAGTTACAAGGAACTGTAACTTTTTTGGATTTATTATAAAGCAGCATAATACATTTGCTACACTAATATTAAATATGATAATTTATCTGTAGTCAAGCCAATTGCTTGGAAGTAGTGGGGAGGGGGGGAAGAGATTAAGCTAAATATGGGTGATAGCATAGAATTAGGAAGGGAAGGCCTCATGTTCCCACAAGTTCCCTACCAGTCAATAATAAGCAGCACGTATCATTTATTCATGAGTCTAGATGTTTACAACACATAACATTAAGTTAGAGCTGATAAAACCATACTGCAGAAATCCAGCCAGATCAAACACTTTGAGTTCTTACATTCCTTTCATTTTCCCTCCCTATTTAACCCACCATGTAGGGACAACTGCAGAAGCAGCACTGAGGAGGCTGAACTGCATTCCTACTACCAGCTACTCCTGATCCCAACTTCAGTACTGCTTTAGAGCTCCTGCACTCAGCCTGGGGGGGAGAAGCAGTACAGAGTGAATGCTGCTGAAATTGGGTCCTACATGTTAACAACGGGCATCCCAAGGTTTTCCCTGCTCTTCCACACAGCTTTCACGCTGGGGAAAAGTCACTCAAGCACAGATTTAGCCCTTTAAACAAGATCAAATTATTTTAGAGCAAAAGCAGGTGGTAGCAAAAAATAGAATATGACTTCAGTACAGATCCCTCAAGAAGCAGGTGGGGAGCCCCTCACCCAAAACTGAGGTCCCACAATGCTGATATTGGCAGTGTTGCAAGACACACACCACCAGTAATCACAGAAACAGTCATTTAACATGCAAAGCAGCCCAGTACACCTCCTGCATATTAAGTGTGATGTCCTCTCATCATTGTTGTATAGACCAAACACAATCAGCAGGATCGGTTATGTTTGCTAGTTTTAAACTGTAAGAACTATACGCTTCTCTCTAAGGAGAGTCTGACATCAGAAACATTTTGACCCCAAGTTTCTTACTTAGAAAACTGTACTGCAGCTCTTAGGAACCTATTTGAGATTATTACAATCACTGCTATAGTGGATACAGGCAGGGAGGGGATGGAGTGACAATAGAATTCTTCACCCTGTTAAACTCTCCTAACCCATGAAAACTCAGAGGACACAGGTGTGTCTGCTCCCTTGGGCACAGAGATTAGATATTTCTGGAATTCACTAGGTCTAATTACTGTTTTTCAGGCCAGAACTCCTTCTAGGGTCACTGGGACAGTTCTTCCAGTTAAGTAAAAACCACTTCCCAAAGGAAGCTGGAAGTGGCCATAACCATTTCCCAGGCTGAAATGCCTGAAGAAGCACCAAGTCCTCACTGAGGGATGATGCCCCGTTTGTATTTTGAAATGGATGCCTGATTTGACAGAAAGGGGCGGTACAGCGACAGAAAGATGACTTGCCAAGTCCACTTCCTGTTCTCTCATTCATTTAGCAAATTCCTTTAATTCCTGCCTCAAACTGCATGTTCAGAGACCGCTGTTCTCTCACTCCATTTACAACCCTCCCTCACCACCGGGTCACAAGGAAACAGATAAACCGGTTTGTCTGTGCTGCATCCATTAGTCATGGATCTCTTCCAACGCTGGCATTATAGTTTTCACAGGCTATTAAGACAACCATGTTATTCTGGGGGAGGATTTTTTAAAATATTGTTATGTTTGGAAGAAGGAACAGAAGATGTGCAGCTTCCAAGTCCAAATGCTTTCTTGCACCTCATCTCACCGATTTCCTCGCAGCTCGAGCTGCACAGAAAAAGGTTCCCCGGAACCTCCGCGATCCTGAGGGTGACGGTAAAACAGAAAAACCGCGATCCCTCTGCAAGACTGCGGCGTCCCCCCGAGCCAGGGCGGGAGCGCCCGCGGTCCCCGGGGCGAGCGGTGCGGCCCCGGCGCGGCGCGCGGTGCGGCCCCGGCGCGGCGCCTCCCCCTCCCCGGAGCGGGAGGTCCCTCAGGCGGCGAGTGACTCTGCACAAATCGCGGCCGCTCCGCACGGCGCGGAGAGGCAGCCCCGGCGATAGATGGAGGGATGGACGGGCGGACGGACAGACAGACGAGGCAGCCCAGAGCCCGCACCGGGGGCGGGCTCGGCCCCGCGCGCCTTCCCGCGGCGCCCAGCGGGACGGCGGCCGCGCTCCGCAGGGAGGGAAAGAAGGCACGGAGGGGGTCCCAGGGGACGGAGGGGGCTCCCCCCGCGGCCTGGCCCCCTCTCCCCGCCCCTCAGCGCGCCCCCGGCCCGCCTAGGCCGCGGCCCCCCCCACCCTGTGAGGGACGGGGTGAGGCAGAGGAGGGGGAGCCCCTTCCCCTCGCCTCCGCCGCCGCCCCGCCGCGCTCACCTGGAAATGCTCCTGGAAGCGAATGGGCAGTATCTGGGCCATGACTGGGGGCGAGCTGCCCGGGGCAGGGGCGCGGGGCAGGGGCGGGCGGTGGAGCGGAGCGGGGGCCGGTGCTCCCCTCACGGCTGCGGGAGCGGCGCAGGCGCGGAGCCCTCGCTGGGATGGCGCTCGGCGCGCCCGCCGCCCTCCTCGGCCTCAGCGCGGGGCCGCTCACTCGCCGCCGGAATCACTCCGCACCTCTCCAGCCTGCCAGGGTCTCCTCAAATAGTCCCTCCCCGCCGCGCTTCTTTCCCCCGCCCATCGCCACCGCCTCTCGCCCGCCCTCAACCCCCCGCTCTTCCTCTGCCCCGCTGTCCCTGCACTCCCGCTGAGGGGATGAGCTGGGGACGGCGTTCCCAGGAGAGGGGGGGGTCCCCGCCCCGGCTACGGCCAACGGAGAGGGGCGGGAGGGGTTGCTAAAGTGCAGGTATCCTTCCGCTGCTGCCACACGCGCTCACGTGACCCGGACCCCTCCCCGGCTCCCTCCGGCGTTGCCCCGGGCTCCCCTCACACCGACCCCTGGGGCTGTCCCCGACCCACCCTCACACCGACCCCCCGGCTGCCCCGGGCTTCCCTCACACCGGCCCCCAGGGCTGTCCTCGACCCACCCTCACACCGACGCCGGGGCTTCCCCACGGCTTGGCGGTGCCGGGGCGATGGTCCCTGCCCTCAGCGCCCCGGGGCTCCCGCCGGGGTGAGGAGGGAGGCAGGGGACGCCCAGGCGCTGCCCCCCCGGCGGTGGCCCTTGGTGGGCACTGGGGAGCGGGAGCCGCCTGCCCGGCCCCTGCCGTCGTGGCTGGCAGTGCCAAAGCGTCGCTCTCCTTCTCCTCCTCGGGAGCCCCCGGGACACCCAAGGGGCTCGGCCAGCGCTGGGCTCAGGCGGCACAGCTGCCCTTGGCCCACCTTGACTTGCCCTAGCGCCATGTGGGCTTTGCTGCCTGCGGCCGTGCCCGGAGGTACGTGAGGGGTTTTATGACCACATGTTTGGAAAACCATCCCGCTGTTTTGCGCTGTGCGATTTCTAAATAGGAATAGGGCTCCTTCCCCCAAGAGTTGACACCGTGAATTGGAAGTTATTGAATAACCAAGAAGTGAAGGGTTCAACATGCAAGAGGTACATCAACACCTTTTTCTTTCACCATCACTCCTAGCCAGCCCATTAGCATCAGATGAGGGAGGGGAAGGTAATGTTAAAGCTATTATATTTCTCCTAAATTACAGTAATCCTTTGAGATGGAAATTGCTGCAGTGTTGCTAGCTCCAGCACTTTTATCCAGAGCATTGTGTTGTTCACATTTTCCCAGAGAGCTCAGCTCTGGGAAATACAGGATTACGGGAGAATCTCTAATTCAATTTTTTATAGATTACTTTCTTATGTTGTGCATTGTGAAACAAAGCTGAACAAGGGACCCCTGAAGACTCAAAACCAGAAGGCAGATTAAAACAGTTTCAAATATATTACAATTTAAAACCTCATTATTTTAACTTAACCTCGTTCATTTTTAATACCTGGAGATGGGAATTGCCGAAACTGGGTTAGGTTTCCAAAGGAATCATAGGCATGGCTCTGCTGAGACACCTTGGGTTCTACTGGCATGCACAATCACAGGCTGCAGCCATATTTGGGAGACATGAAGGTCTACATCTGGACAGAGGAAACCCTGAACAGCCCATTGAACAGGTGGCTGGGATGAGATGCTGCTAAAGCCCCATCCCTGAGGAAATCTGGGATCTGTAGCTGTCCCCAGAAGACTCCTGATTGGGGTTAAGTACCAAGGTCTGGTCTCTGGAAAGAACAAAGCAAAAACTGGAGCTGGAGACAACTTTTCTTTACATGGTCAAAAGGGGTTTGAGTAGCATCTGCCCTGCAGGTTTGTTAGTAGTTTAATTAAGGTGGGTTATGAGTTTCCAAATGAGGACAAGTCAGCAGTGCTGCAGAGACAGACCATCAGTGGGATGTCAGGACATCATCTGTCACCAGCCCATGTTGGTATAGTGAGCTTGTTCTGTGTTTTCTTCTGTCAACTGTCCTCCCTTACAGTCACTTTATGGATGCTAATTATTTATATCCAGATCTCCTATTTTTGCTTTTCAGTTGATAGCTAACTATGTCTTAAAGAAAAACAAGGCACAGACTTTCATCATTTATTTCACAAATAAAGTAGGACCTCTTAAGTAATGTACATAGTTATACTATATACATTTTTATATCACTTATGTTTTAAAGAAAACTGTGACAAAAGAAAGAAGCAACAGATCTGTCCCTGAGACTTATTTTTATCATTAAGAATTACAAATGCACAAAAGCCACTGTGTATTGTGTGCAATCCCTCCTAGTAGTCTGGCACCAAACTGCTGATGTGAACTAGAGAGATCACTGGCAAGGAAATCAAGTGTCTTTTAAAGTATAATTAAAATTAAAGGTCTGTTATATTTCTTCACTCCAGTTTTAATAATATAATCCTTCATGCCCAATCCCAGCTGGCCAAATCCTAATTACAACATCCCATAATATCCATAGTAAAAAAAGCATCTCCCTTTATGTAAGAGTGCTTTGCCACACTTCTGTCTGCTGATGTCTTTGTTACTTTTACCTTCTTTACACCTCTCTGTGTTTAAATATCTGTCCTTTATAAGACCCGGCTTTGCTGATCCCAAGGGTTACATTCTTTGCAAGTGTGATCAGCTCTGTGAAAGTGCTGGACACTGTGGCACAAACCAAAAAAACCAGGAAAAGTATTTTGCCATCTTTTGTCCACTTTGCAGCCTGCTGAGCTTCTGCTGCAAAAGGAACTGCCCTCTGCACAGTCAGCTGTGTGCATGGATGTTTTAACTGACTATTTTAACCCTGTTTTCTATATTTAGTTTGGGATCTCTCAATGGGAAGGCACTACTGGCCTTATTTAAGGTATTTCTCCTATAGTCTATAGTCTATTAAAAGGCAATGTAAAAGGTCTCTAATGGTTCGTTGTGTTAGTGCCCCTCTGATTAGCTGACTGCTACTCTCCTGCTCCTTTATACAAGGCAGAGCCACAGCATCCAGCAGCTGAGAAGAGCATAATCCCTAGAAATCCTTTAACAAAGCAAATGGAAAAGCTCCTGGTAAATGTTTCTCTATTTATTTCAGAGGTTGTTCTCATCCAAATATTTGGTTTTCTGGCTTATCCTATGGATGGCAGCCTGATGCTCTTTTTCCAGTGTTTGAAAACAGCCCTGAGAAGAGCTGCATTTTTGTCTTGGAGAGGCTGTTATTTACATGGAAAAATATTGTATGTATTGTGCATATTTCTAGTCTTCTTCCCACAGAATCATCCAAGGAAGTTCTTGCTCAACAACATGTGTTCAAATCACCGCTTAACTGCACGAGAGTTCATTTTGAAAACTTTTCGCTACTTTACTGTTTTGATAGAAAAAAGTCAAATGGCACTGGCACATCTTCTGGCCTGTATGAGAGACTGTCCACTGTAGACCTGCCCAGGTGGGATCACGTGCAGCTCCAAGGGATGGAGAGTCTGCATGTTGGACTTGCTCATCCTCGTGCCTGATCGTTGAAACTTCTGGAGAGCTGCTGTGGCACAGCACTGACGGCAGGACGTTGATCCTCATCTGTTCCCAGCTCAACGCTGCCTGGTGCCGTCGGAGTGTCAATGCTTTGCTTAACAGATAAATGCAAACCTCAGGAAAGCTGTATCAGCAGTGGCACCGAGATGTTGTGCTGCAGCAATGTCAGAGCATCACAACATTCCTAAAGTTCCGATTTGGTCTCTCACGCAGAAAATTGGTATTTCATGGATCTGGAGGCCCTCACTGACTGTTTGCCTCAGAATCCAGTTTGAAATTGTACTCCTTGTTTTTCAAACCACACCCTCGCTCCTTGGACTTCTTTCCAGCTTGTCTCCTGGAGACGTGGAGCCCTCCCCTTTCCTCCCCTCTGTCTCTTCTCTCCTTCCAACAGGCTCCTCACTGCTGAGTCGAGAACTGACTCCTCTCACCATCTCCCATCCAGAGCTGACTCCTTGTGCATGTCCCACAGTCATTCTCCATTTTAGTGCAAAGTTCCACTCAAATAATGCTCTTTTCTCCTGGAATTCAATTCTCCTTTTCCATCTGTTCTTACTGAATGCATAACTCTGGGTCATACAAAGCGCTCTGAGGCTCTGGATGAGTTTCTTCTGTGGTTTGTGTAAGTCATTGTGCAAGCTCCTGAGAGTCAGCTGGTAAAAATGGTAATTTTTTAAAAAAATTATTTGAAATGTAAAGATTCTGTTGCAGAGATGTTTAATATGTAATTGTTTAATGTTTAAATTCCCTCTAGTTCATTCTTTGAAAGAAGAATGGCATTGTACATGCTTAGAATTTAAAGGCAATCCCCTGCTATGGTGGATTTAACTCCTGACATGTTCTTGATAAAGGTCACTTTTTGAATTTAGTTCAGTATGTGAAGCCCCATCCTGTAGTCCCTGTACATGAAATCTCTGCTGGAGATTATAATCCCCATCATCTCCATCAGCAGATTCTGATGGCATTTAATGTCAAAATGAACAGAAGTGTCTAGAGGCAGTAGCAGTGCAGGCTGCAGGTCTTGAGGTTCCCCACAGAGAATGCCATGATGATACATAATTTACTTGTAGCTTGCAAACAATATGCCTGTCTTGCCTCCCAGAAGCATTTCCGTTGGAAGGAGCCATTTCTGTCCATGAGCAGTACACGGACATCGATGCTCTCTGTGCATTCTTAGAGCCATTTGCTCCTTCCCTGGACACTGGTGTTCTCCAGGCTTTACAGCACAGGTGCTGAATCCCTTACATGGCAGTTTCTCAGCCGAAATTGCAGCTCCTCCAACAGCCTTGTAAAAACAGAGATCTACTGGTGAGTGACGCAAAGCCGGATAAAGGGCACGGGAGTCAACGTGTGCCTTCAGAATCCTGACAGAGGGATCAGGGCTCTGTGCTACAACAACCTTTGGAGAAGCTGAATTCCTCCGGGGTGTTTCCTCTGGCAGCTCATTCATCAAGCAGATAGAGGGTGAATGTGTTCTTTGAAAACATAACCAGTGGCAAGGGCTGAGGTAGCTGATACAAATCCAGGGTGCATCTCTCACTAATTTCACCAGGTCTGGAATGACAGAAACCAAGCTACGCTTCTAAACAGACCAAGTAAAATCTTAGCCTAGATGGTCCGAGTGGTTGAACACCACTTAGGAGCATAACTAGTCAGTGTGCACAAATAGGGCATGAGAAAGGGCTGGGAAGGACCTGGAGGGGTCTGCTGGTTGTCACCTCTGTCCTACAGCAAGGCTGAGTGAGCCAATGTTGGCCAATTGCAGATTAACAGGGTGATTTGGGAAATGCTGAATATATTGACTGTTAGGGCCTTTTAGCTATTTCCTTTGAAATAGACCCTTGACAGGGAAAACCTCAGTGTTCATTTTCTTAACGTTATTACATTATCCAGGAAAGAGAATGAAGCCAAGAAAAGCAGAAACCCTGTTACATTTTCAAGTATAGTGGTAAACTATGCAGATTGTAAACAGACTTTTTATTTTCTATAGGGCATTTAAAATATATTTCCCCTTCTCTTAATCCTGGCAAGAAGCACTCTCTAAACTCATAAGCTATGAATTCCCCCATCTCCAGAAGGAAACAACTCTTTATGACTGTTCTTGTTTGCCTTGCTTCCTTTTCCCCACCACAGTAAGTTTTGAGATCAGTGGCCAAATTCAGCCATATGTGATGGAGAGGAATAAGCTCAAAGAAATTGGATTCCAGCAACTTTCATGAAAACAGGCAGCCAGAGAGTGGAGAGACTTTTATTTAGAAGGAATGGCTGAAGTGGGAGTTCAGCCCTTACTGGAAAATCTATGAAGTCAGTGCAAACTGTGGGGAAAAAAAAGTCTTTGACCAAGGTCTGCACCTTCTTGAATTAGTTTTATTGTTCATGAAATATTTTTGTTCCATTCTTTTATTCCCAAATTCCTGCTTTTGTATGAATCTGTACCTTTGTCTGCATTAACTTTAAAGATAGGTTCAGAAATCCTGTCCTGAAAACACCATTATTTCCTGAACTATGTTCTTCCCTTCAAAACCATGTTTTTGTTACACCATGTAATGCTATTCTATGTGACACAAAGGCCCTGTTTTTTTATTATCAGCTTGTAGGATTTCAGGAAGCTGAAGATAAAAGTCACCCTAATTTTCTTATTCACTCTTGGCTTTCTCTGTCTTGAACTGTTTGTGGAACAGGTTTAACGGACGTTCTCTGCATTTCTTGGTTCTTAATGACATACACAACCTGAATGTAACAGACTGGCTTTTCTTGAACTTCAGTCTTAACTAGAATTTTCAAGACACAAACACAACACAAAGATGTTTCCCCAAGAGGTTTAACAATCACACATTTTCTACCTTTTAGATTTTTGACAACACAAGCAAGATGGCTGAGCTGGAATAAAATGTAGGCAAGCACAGGCTTACATGCTCAAAGTCCTCATAATGAAATGACTAAGGTACCTTAAAAAAAATTCCTACTAAGTGCTGGCAGAAGCAATCCATAAACACTTTGCTACCCTGTCACTAGAATGAATTTAGATGACACAAGATGAAGACAGCCATGCCCCTTTATGCCAGAGCTTTCAATGTAAGTGATGCTACTTAGGTGAGGGGTGTTGAATAAAGGGAGAAAACCTTCTGTGCAGAGGCCTTAACAAGCACCAGAGGGAATTTACAATCCTATCTCTTTAGACAGATCTTCCCCAGTTTAAAGAATATTTGGTACTTTCTACTTTTCTAAAGGCCTGAGGGGTGCCCTGAAATGTAAAAAATTACACCAATTTTTTGGCAAACTGTGCTGTTCCAGATATGTAGAGTATCTTTAGCAAACACAAAAATGAAAGGGGAAGCATACAAAGTGCTAGTTAAACCATGTATTTAGCATTTTGTCATCATGCTGCTTTGCGGATTTTTGGTCCTCATCGTGGAAAAATGTGATGTAATAAAGTACTAATTTCAAAAAGAATATATGGAGGTTATTATGCAGTAGCTTTTTATTGTCTCCTTTCTGCACCAAGCCATACTGCATCCAAAGGGGTGAGTTCTAGCTCCAGTGTTGGAATTTTCCCTCTTCCATCTTAGCTCTCTACAAGTCATTTGCTCCAACTCAACCAGAGTCTAGTGCTTAAAATTCTGGATGGAGTGAGGCTCCAGCTCCAGCACATCAGCAGTGAGTCATCTTTGCGTGTTTCTATCCATTCATGAAGGCTGAAACATGTTAATAATAAGCAGCTCTTCTTTTGTTTCTTTGGTTATGCTGCAAGAGGAGAACTAAAGAACTGAAAGAAACAAGTTTAGTGTTAAGAAATAAGCACTTTCATGAACCCTCCAAAAGATCCTTAAACATCTGCATATTTCTCTTGTAGCCCAGAACATGTTTAAGACAGCACATGATGTGTTGCCTGATGCAAGAACTATGTTCAGTTAACGCATATTGCCAAGTTTGTGTCTGCAAACAGGAGCTTAATTTGCTATGTCTGGGCTGTGTCTGATTGTACTCATTCACAAAGCCAGCAAAATAGCTGGAAAAGTGGTAGAATACAGGAAACTGTTGAGCTTTTTGATCAATTATTCCAAAACAAGAATGATCAAATACAGGCCGTAGGATTAAAACACAGTTGGAATCCGTGCTCATTTGTAATATAAAGTTAAACATTTTGGAATGGTCTGTCCCTTCCCAGTCCACCCACTCATGTCAAAAGATGATGCAGTTGGATCTGCTGGTGATACCAAGATCCTGGGAAGCTACAGGCACGGTCCCTCTGGATAGTCAGATGTGTTCACTGGTGTGTCACCTCCTCAGCCGCTGGGTTACAAAGCACCAAGGTACCATTTATTACACTGCTGATCTCAGATATCACTTCCTCAGCCATCTCCATTCATAGTTACAGATGACATGCAGAATTATTTTCAGCTCTGTTTGGCTTGTGTGCAATCCAGTTTTGCAGCTCCCCTCTGGATTCCGTAAATACAACAGCAGGGAGAAGCCACCTTTTGTCCCCTTGTGCCAGGAGGACCTGCCAGACATCAACATGGACCAAACTGTTTTCTGTAAGTCTGCTCACAGATTTCATAATCCATCTGTTTTCTGTAAAATGCAGTTATTTACAGCAAAGTTCCCTCCACTGTACAGTAAGTGGCTGTTTATATTGCTATTTCTGATGAGGCTCAATATTGTCTATTTTTCATTCTATCTCAGCACTGCCTTTAATTGCCTCTTCCCCCCAGATTTATGTATTATCCCTCCCGGCTGTTCACACACAGACTTCCCTTTCCTGGCAATCTTCCAGTCACTCTGTACTCCAGGCAGAGGTACTAAAACAGCAGAGCAGTTGATGAGAGTTAAAATAAATCTACATTCTGTTATACTGTGTGGCCCAGAGATGACTGAGCAATTGAACAACAGAGCAGCCGAGACGCGTCAGAGGTTCTTTTCCTTTTCCCGACTGTTAATTTTATTTACTTTCAAGCAGGTACATAACAGGGTTGTAGAGGCTTAACAAATGTCTCTTCAAATGTTTTCAAATGCCATTATTTAGCACCACTGCAAGGCAGAGTAAGTCAGAATTAATGATTCTCTCAAATACCAAGTGAAAATTGTTCTTACAGGAATCAGCTTCATAACCCTGACACTTGAGACACCTGGAAAAGCAGAGACATTCCCTGGAGATCTGCTGAGGTCATTAAAACAGCCAGGCTGACTCAGCAATGCATCTACGTGTGCCCAAGTGCAAATATATAAGGGAGCTTAATGGTTTTAATGTGTTGCTCAATATAAATATGCAATTATTTTGTAAATAAGTACCTTCTTGAATTAAGGCTCCAGCTTCTTGCCTTCTAATGCACCCAGACCCCCCTCCTCAGTCATTGCCAGTAGCTGCTGGTGTCCAGTGATACCCGGGAACCAGCAACGTGCTGTTGTGTCCCACAGAGGAGCTGCTTTGGTTGTGCTCTGTCTTACCTCTCCTGGGCACAGGTGAAGCCCTCGGGCTCCTGGCAGGCTGCCATGGTAAACACAGCACGCTGCATGTTGGCTCGAGTGGGCAGTAAAGGCCTCAATATTGCATCTCAAACACTGTTTAGTAAAGCAGGCAATTGAAAAAAGTGTTTGTTTAGCTTATGGAGATTGTGGAAAAGAAAACAGCTCCAGAAATTCAAAGCTAGAAATGCTAGAGCAGGCACATCAGACTTCTAAGAATGAGCTTCCACACCTCCACCCTCAGCTGCAAGGATGAAGGTCTTTCTTAGACAAGCAGTTGAAATGCAGTTCAACAAAAAGCCACTCAGAAGGGTCAAGAGCAAGGATTCAGGCAGTAAAATAAACACCTGGAGATGGAAAAATCCTTCTCCATTTTTCCTCCCACATGTTTTGGAATTATTGTGCCAGGAAATTATTAAATCACATAAGTTTCAGTAATGAATGTATTGCTTGGATGGCATGGGAAATTTCTGAGGGATATGGCTAAGGAAATTAAAAACTTTGATGAAAGGTCAGATAGATGAGTAGGACTAAACCATTATATGGACCTTTGGAAACAGTGCTGGTATGGGAGGATATTCCTCTGATTGATAGAAGTGAGCATTAAGAGGTGTGTGCATAAAATGTAGAGGGATCTTTCTTTAGTATTTTCTGCTGTAATTCAGCACAAAGGTTCCCTGTGATATTTTTGCTCTACTTGGAAGACTCTTCCACCTAATTAGGAGAGGGACAAATCAGACCTGCTAAAGCACTTCTGTATCCAGAAGGCCATTTTTATGTCTTGAGAACAAGGCTGCTTTTGCTGTGTCACAGATGCCAGTTCGTGGCACACCAGCATTTTTCTTCAGCTTAACAAGGCTGGTGTCTCAGTAAGAGGCCCCTCACAATCTTGTTTTCTCACCTGCATTTTGCTTAATGTTGCAGTTCAGTTTTAGGTCATTAGATCTTGCTAAACACATACCAACAAAAATTAACCCATCACTGAATTAGTGCAACTATGTCATTTAGGAAAGAACATCCCTCTCTGTATCACAGTACAGGATGTACTGAACAATGTTTTCTACCTGTCTCGGTCACACCTGCACGGGGGGCACGTGGAGGGGAGGTGGGAGGTGGCAGTGACAGCCTGGCCAGAGCAGAACAGGCTCTGCATCCTCACTGACTGTGCCTGCCTTGCATTCTGAGCACACATGGGGAGGATCCCACAGGCATCCACAAACACTGCGAGTTCCTCTCCACGCTGTATTACTGCAGCTTTAGGAACAAAAATAAATGCCAGAAATGTCACCAGCCTAGAACACAACAATGCACGATGAAGCAGATAAAATGACTCACAGGTCTCCTCTGCAGTGCTGTTTGCAGCCTAAATATTTTCAGGGCAGAAGGCTGCAGAAGGCTGCAGAACTTTGAATCTGGAATTATCTCAGTCTCCAGCAAAATCCTGCTTTTTAACACTTCTTGGCTTTTCATGAAAGTCAAATTACAAGTAACAAGTCCCGAGCTTTCAGTCCTGGTCATCCTGCATGAGTTATTCCAGGAGGAAAAATAGAGGCTGACATTGTCCTTCCCTTGCAGAGCTTTCTCTGTGGGCAGGTGGATGCAATCGGGTTTTAACCTTTGCTTTCTTACGTGACAATTTTGTAACCTATTTATATCGAACTGCCGGATTTCTTGGCTGCCTCTCTGCCTAGACTTCACTCAAAGAGGGAAGGAACATCCTGTATCATTCTCCAAGAGGCTCAGTGGGCACAGATGTAAACAGACTGGCCAATGCAGGCACAAGGCAATGCTGAAAATAGGGCAATAAAGTTAAGACTATCAAGACCTGTCCTAGTGCATTACTGTGGACCTTACTAGAAGCCAAGAGCAGACTGCACCACCAGCCTTTGCAGTTGCTTCACACGAGGCAATATTCCCAGAGGAATTTTTCTTCAAAGGCGTCCAGACAGCACCATCTAGTCAACAAACATTCCATGCAAACAAACACTGGGGTTGCACAGAAATTCTCAGAGAAATCTGGGGCTCAAATCTAGGGCAAACAGGTCAGATTTTAGTACCTACATAACTTGAACTCAGAACTGATGAAATGAATACACTGATGAGAGTGTCCTCAAGAAAAGCAGTGGAGTAAAACTGAAGGAAGATCACTAAACTGTGTAATTCTTCCCAACTGCCCTTACACGTTTGATCTGAAATGATAAAACTCTTTTGGGCAGTGGCTGCCAGCACTTGACATACACATCCCAAACTGGACTGTTTTCTTCCTACCCTGCAGGGTTAATGCCCGCAGCACGGCCCTGGTGGCACACTCCATACCCCTGCTGCCCTCGCTGACCCTGGCAGGCTGAGAGACACGCAGGGCTGGGCAAAGGCTGCTTCTTCCAAGTGACAGAAATCCAGCAGCTCTTCAGAGCCTTGACCTGTGGGCAGAGCTCCCCCCTGGCACATTAACAGAGAGCAGACTGACAGTTAATGTGGAGGGGAAAGGAGGGTCATTGAGAATGAAGATGCCAAGGAGGCCCATTGTTTTCCACAAAATATCCACAGCTAGAGGTGGAAGCCCATTTTCTAGAAGGTTCTGCCTCACCACCAGCAGTCACAGTCCATCTAGACGTTATAGTGGAGGCAGGGCTCCACAGTCACTGTATTTAGAAAACCCTGCCTGGCATTCAGGGATCTTCCTGATTTGGCAGCCGGTTTATTCTGAGGGCACCTCCCTGCTTGCTTTCAACTGAGCCTTCCCAAGCCCTCAGTTCTGGCCCCAAAGGAGTTGTTCTTCATATTTTCCCGTTTCGGGAATATGTAATAAATTTATTTGGAAGCAAACAAACCCTCCTACCAAAACAAAATGAAAATTACAAAACTGCCTCCTAAAGCCAAACCTCTTTTCAGAAGCAGGGAGAGGGACAGGCAGAAATGTGGGGTCCTTCATTCCAACAGCACCTGCTCTGCCTGGTTTAATGTACTTGGACGAGCATCCTTTACCCCCCCTTCCCTCCCTCATTCCCCAGAAAGGCAGGGACTGCACTGTAAGCCAGGAGGTCCTTGAGAAAACACAAAAGGGTTGAAATGCCTGACCAGCCATAAACAAACAGCTGTGTGTGAAATACTCTTAAGACTCAGAAAATGATTCTCCCTGCAAGCAGAGCAGGGAAGCAATTAATATTCCTAGCAGAGATCCAGAATCCACCACACTGCTCCATTCTCTACCATCTCCCACTGTGCTCTTTGCATTATTTTGATTTTTCTATATGCAACAATCAAGTGCAGAGATGGAAGAGCTCTCAATTGCCATTTGTTGAAGAACTCTCAGCATAAAGGCAGCAAACCAAAGTTTCCGGAATTTAAAAAAAAAAACAAACCCCATTAGCCTCTCTACTGATTTTCCCTTTTCAGAGCTTTTGTGATAAATAACCCTTCTGAAACTCTGCTTTACCATATTAAACAAAACTAAACTCTACTACAAAAAAAAGAAAATAATTCAGAAGCCAAGTCCCTCCCTCATGTACAGATAAGAACCTAAGTGGAGGTCAGGACATTCACAAGTTCTCTACCATCACCAAATTTGGAACTACAGAGGAATATTACAAACCCTATTTAAGTTTTCAAGATGGTTCATATATTTTTTTGCCTTACTCCTGTGTCACCTACCTTGTTCATGCCTACGTCCAGTTATTGATATTCCTGCTAATACAAAGCACTATGGCAAGATTACTTTCCAAGCAACATCTTGAATTATGTTATCATCACAAATAAAATTCTTGCAAAAATGAATCCTTGCTTGCATTCCTCTTTCAGGATCTAAGAGACTCTACTCAAGAATTATGTAGAAATGTAATACTCTGTTTTTATTCTCAGAAAACAAAACCCACCAGCTTATTTCTATATTGGCACAAATTTAACAGAGTAGGTCCAGCATTGTAACAGATATTATGGGGAAAGAGTGACAATGAAGTTGTAATAAAAAAAATTTCGGAGATAAATGCAAAAACTCTTTGTTAACAATAAGCACCTTTTATTGACCATCTTACCATTCAACACTTATTTCATTCAATCTCCTATATTGCTGAACTACAGTCCAGTTTAGCATTTAAATAAAAGATAATGCAATTTGACTTGTACAAAAAGTGTTATACCTGGGTGGCACAGAATTAAAGTTCCTTTTTAAAAGGCTACAGACACAAATAATCACCACCTATGATTTGAAAATTAAGTCCTACATATTTCAAAGTGAAAATTAACACATATCCTCCATATGATGTTATGCTTGTAAAAATGCCTACAAAAATCTGTTTGTTCAGAAGGCAGAGTGGGTGGAAAGTATTTCCTATTTCACCATTTAACAAATGATATCACAAAAGCCACAAGGCAGCAAAATACTTCAGATGAATTTCACAGACTAAAAGAACCCCTGACACCATCGTGTCCCAAGGATTTCCGTGGGTCAATCCAGCTCAGCACAGAGACAGATCCTTGGACTTCAGACTAAAGTTCAGCTACACATCATTTGTTACAATATTTAATTCAATGCTCAGGAAATTTAAAAATCAAATACACCTGGAAATCTAGTCCTCAGATACTGGTTATTGCCATTTGTGCTCCTTGCTGCTTTTAAGAATCTAATGTCTGTGTTATGAAGTTATGTTAGTTCCAGGTTTTTTAAATCTCTTCAAAATTGAGCAGCAAACTTTTTGAGGAGCAAGAAAATTGCCTTTTATAAAGAATACTTAAAATATTTTTTGCCATTTTCTTCTGACCTTATTAAACTTCTACTCAAGCCAATAAAAATAACCAGAACTATTTTGCTGCAAGAACACCAGTTTATATGCCAACATGAATATGCAGGCAAAATCATTTATTTTATCAAGTTAGCATGTGAGTGCAAATTAAATCTCTTCTGAAATTCCCAGACCCCCCACAGTTTAAGTTTTTCAGCAGCATCCAAGAAGAAATAAAACTCCATCTCAGGGAACAGTAAGAAAAGCTACTGAAGTAAATCCTTCATTACACATGCAAAGTGGCATTTCCTGGAAAGGCAAAATCCGTGTGGTTATTTTCCTTTAAATTTCCTTTTCCTGCGGGATGGAAAGTTATTCCAAGAGAAAAAAAAACATCACTATTATGAAATAGTGTTGTCTCCTTATGTCAGTTCCACTGAAGTTCATTATCAGCATAAAGCATCTATATGGAAGCAGAGGAATTCAGTTTGTAGCAGACATTCATTTTTACCCATGCACAATCTTCTCCCCCGTGCAATTATTTCCCCAATGTGGAAAATAATCCTTTAAAACAAGGCCATTAAAACAAGACAAAAATAATAAATAGAGCAGGAAAACCTAAGCAAAGGCAGGAATACGTTACTGAGGCAGTGATGGCATTGTTAGAAGACACGAGGAGTTAGACCTCTGTGTAAATTCCACAGGGCTGAGATCCTGGGATTCTAGTCTGCTTGGATCACAACAGTCTCAAAGCAGAAATAGGGATTTATTTTCTATTCCCCTTCCCTACCTGTGTTTTCAAAGGCATCAAAGATATCCAGGATGCAGTGAACATTCCATAAGGCCAGTACAACTAAACATCTGAACAAAAACTGGAGTTCACTTTGGGAAATTATAGAGACTGAAAATGGAGTAGCTCACATCAGAAAGGCACCACCTTCACTCTTAAATCAAATACTTTTGCTTGGATTCAAGCTCCCCATTTCTTACCACCCATAACACAATTAAATCCTCCAGCAACATTTTTTCTTCCATTTGCCATAACTTAGTGAAGAAAGTCTCAATGTCCCTCCTTGTTACCAGAGTCTTAGTTCAGCAAACACTGGGTTGTGACAAGGTTTCTTACAGGTAATGGCAGATTTCACACTAAAAGGAGTGTTATTAATTACTATGCAATTTTTTATGCTCTCTCTTCTGGAGAGAATTTATATACTTTTCTGAGACACAAGAGTTTCTATAATCAGCATTGGGATAAGAGAAAATCTATGTCTTTTCACCCTTTTTATTAAAAGGAGAAACTAAACCAGGTATAATCAAAATTTTAATCTTCCTTCACTGAGGTACTTAACATTTTGAATACTAACAATTGTATAATTTACTAAATAAATGTATCAACTAAATAAATGTATCAATAAATGTATGTCTGTCTTGAGACATCAAATCATATAATTAATAAATATTCTAACAGAGTAAGAGAATTAATCATGGTATACACCCAAAAAGATGATATATTAATAAGGTATTTAATGGTTCTAAATGAGCAGAAATGATACAAACTGAAAATTAAGAAGCAATTAAAAGTACTCAATAGCTCTTGAAGTTTTATGTCCCTGAAAACCAGATTTTTATTTAGGGACTGAAATCAATGACACAAGTAACAAATGGAAACAGAGGCTCACCTCAAATCTAATTCACAACTCAACCCTGCTAGTAATGCCACAAGTTGTATTTTTTCCATAATACAATGTTTAATAAGTGTAGCTTTTTTAGTGATTTATTTTTCTACAAGTAAACTTCCAGAAGACACAGTAAAACAACAAAAGGCTCGAGTTCTCTTTTATCTCCTTAACAACTGGGTGCACTTTGCAGCAAGTGAGCTCAAGGTAACAAATCCCTTGAGAAAGCGAAGAGCAGGGTGGGAATGCCATGTCCGTGAAGGACACGAGCTTGACAGCTTCAAAAACCAAGGTCTTCCTTTAATTCATAACATAACGTGGCACCAGCTCAAAAAAAATGAACTTATCTCTTCCCAGCCACACACTGTCATTCGTGATCGTGAGTGTTCCAACACTGACACAGCTCCCTGGGCCTCTCCAAACCACAACTTACTCATTTTCAGGACAGGCAGCAAGTTCTCATTGTTATGGCTGCAGGCTGGAGCAGAATTGTGATTTTGCTCTACAGTGATACTTATAAAAGAACAAAACAAAGTGAAAGGCTCAACTTCTATTTGGAAGACTCAAAAATGTTTCTGAGCTTTTCTTCATTTGCAGGAATTTTTCATACCTGCTAAGCCAAGGCAGATGGATGTGAACCCAAGTGGAGTTTCTTAACAGTCACATGGCCCAGCAAAACAGAGCATCTGCTCCATCCCTAATAACATTTGAAATCAATGTTAAACAATCTTCTATGATCTGTTTGTGCAGTTTATCAGACCAACTCTCCATTCCTAAAATGGAAGCTATTTTTTCAAATAACCACCTAAATGAATAAGCTGAGAAAGAGCAGAAAATAAAAAAGCAGATGGTGACAATTTCTGCAAAAGTATATTTAAAAACACATAGAATTAAGTCCTGATTTTGTTACCCAAACTCTTTGGGTCACTGTCAATCAACATTTCTTGCAGACCATGATATCCTTAGAGATCTTTACTGGAAAGACTGTAAAGGCAATTAGTATTTAGTGACCAAACATAAAAACACAGTTCATGGATTCACCATTTGGCAAAAGTCATCTTAGGAAGGGGAACACGCACAGGATATTATCATGACTGCATGACACCCTTGATATTTTACAACTTGCACAGAACAGTCCATTCCTTAAGCTCCAGAAATGCCACAACAGTCACTTTAAATTATTTTTACAGCTGGAAATCAGTGGTTTTTCAGAATTTAACATAGCTGTAGGTAAACAGAATTAGCAACATGTGTTCTGAACAAAGCAGCACATTTTGTTCCCCCTGCCCCCTCCCCAAAACAGAGGCAAAAAATGCAGTTCCTTTTCTCACCACAGCTCCCAGGCCAAGGACACTGAAGCTTTGTGGCGTGCGAATTCCTCCACGCACACGACACACAGTTACACAACTGAGCAGGGCATCCTGACCCAGTGCTGAGAGACCTTACTCCACATGCACTATTCCCATGGACACTAAGAAGAAATTTCATGTATTGTGCTGAATTAAGCCTATGGAATTTTATGGACAACAAAACCAATAACATATCAGAAAAAAGGAGAAACAGATACTATCCGAGATTTTTTAAGAGATGGGTTGAAATGAGACATCCAGGATGAACTGACGCTGGACAAAAAGAATTCTGAAAATCCTTTAAAGTTGTCGGACTCTTTTATCAGTGTTTTTAATATTGATGTCCAGTGTCTCTACTTTCCTGGTGAGCCGGTCCAGCATATCATCCTGCTCCTCGATCTCCGTCTGCAGACCAAGGGCCAGGTTTTTCAGACGACTCAGCCCAGAAGACATCTCATCTGCCAAAGGAGAGAGGGACCATAGGGAACCACAGTGGTATAACACATACTGCTCAAATGGACACTACCAGGATCCCCCCTCCTCCTGGGTTAGAAAATGTCAGGTACAACTTCTCAGCTGAGTGATCCTCTGCAGTAGTGGAAGCACTGGTAGGTCCATAGTTGTACTGAATTACTACCAGAAGTGATCACTTCCTTCTTTCTTCCATTACAACTTAACTTGAAATGCTTAACACCAAACTGGATCTTTATCAAATGACATACCCTGTAATGTAATTTTTATTTTTTAAATTTATTTTACAGAAAAATCAGATACATCTTTTCTCAGCTCAGCATACACAATCTGCTCACTACCTCAATTGTTTTTCCTTAAACTTCATGCAGAAGTATCATCAATACTTCTTAAATCTTCAGTGTTATTTATCATAGATGAAAACCTCCCATTTCCAGATTTTCTAATTTGGCTACAAGGTGACTATTTTATTGCATGATTGATTGGTATAAATGCTGCTGAAGCAAGTAAGTTTTCCACAGCTTGTGAGTAGAACAATGTACTTCCACTACACTCTTCTGTCTATTTCTTTGATTCATCCCTTTCTGATTTCTTTCCAATTTCTTTTTTCTAGGTCAGCTACAGAGAGACACGTGTAAGCAAAGAGGCACTTTGTCTATATGTTACAGAACAAATGAAGGCAAAGTCAGCTGAACAGCTTCGGGAAGTAATAAAAGGAATGCGGCAAATTCACAAATTAAATATTTAGTGCCTTTCGATTCTTCTATTTTTGGCAAAACATATTTATTTCAAAAGCTGTGCAGAGTTCTAAATTATTTGGGTCCAAGCTGATGTGCAATTTAGTATCTGAGTTGAACCGTTAGCTAAGTTGAATGCACTTTTCCATGAGAGGTAAGCTCTGGAAAAAGCAGCAGTAAGGATCCACAGTGAGGATGCCAACCTGAAGCAGTATTTTCTTGTTGATACTACTAGAACCTGCTTTGTAAGACTTTTCAGAATGGATGGATAAGACTGCTTGCCCCAGTGATATTCCAGTCAACGGACAGGATGATTCAAAGGAATGTTTTCATACCCTGAGTGCCAGTGCTGTGGGACACTTCAGCACCATTTCCACATTCAAATGACAGAGACTTGCTGGTGTGCTCACATTTGGTACGAGTGGTTGTCTCATTGTCAGTGTATGATCTAAGAGGACTCATGCTTTTGGTGTGGGTTTTTTTTTCCCCAGGTTGTTCAAGGACAGTTCCAAACCATCTAAAGCACAAGCATGTGGCAGAAGAGTTGAAGTATTAATGCCAATACTGTATCACTCCACAGCAGGTTTATATTACCCCAGACATCTTAGCTGGTTTGTTTCTAGCTGGTTGCACTTCAAATGCATTTCTAACTCAGATTCGTTACTAATTTTTGCAAGGAGGTGACCCACAGACATCCCCTAGCATTCTACATTCAAATAATTTATGTTTCAATCAAACTTTGGATTCTGCCATGTAGACAGTTTAGAAATGCAGAATACAAGCAAATGATTTTTTTATTTATCATACAATTTCACATATTAACTAAACAAAAAAGTCTTTGTTGGTAGTATATAACTTAGTTATTTTATCTGGCTTAGGAATCAAGAATTGACAACTGTATTACATCAAACAGCTTCAGTTTTCTCACTCACCTAAGTTGGTATCAATTTTCTGATGGTAAGCTCGCAGCTGTTGGTTCTTAGGGTAGGAATCATCCCTTTGCACTGAAGAAACCAAATCTGCTTTGCTGAAATCATTGTCTGTTAAGGGTATAGAATACAGAATGTTATATAATAAAAAAGCTAGTAAAAAGAGGCTTTAAAGTTTTATGAAGGCTGTTAAAAATTAGCCTGAACACAGCTGCCAGGTAACCCCATCACAGGGGTATCAGCAGGAGTCCAACACCACTGTCTACAGGGCACCTCTCAGGATGAACAGTGAAGCTACAATTCTTCTTTTTGGCTGCCTTTTTTTTTAGTTCTAGTAGGTAGCTGAGAGAAAAAAAAGGAAAAACCCAGTCTCCCAGCTCACATCCAGGTGGGACAAAGAGGTGGGACGGTCCCTGTACCCGCAGGGAGCCGTCCCAGACGAGGCCCCCGAGGCTGCTCTGCCCTCCCCTGGACAGACCTCGGCATTACACGGAGTGGAGCGGAGACATATCCCAAAAGCATTTCTCTCTTTACTCACACAGCTACAACTGTGGATATCCTGCTGCTTTCCCACTCCTACTGCGCTAATTAACTGAACGTCCCTTGAAAAAGGAACACTTACTTGGCACATAAAAGCCATCACAGAAGTAAGGCACTGTGGGAAGGGGGAACGAGGCCAAACCCCAAATGCTGCCTTGTGAGAATCAGGTGATGACTCGAGTAGGAAGGGTCACAGTCCATGTTTGAGATAACAAGGAAAATGTATCTGACAACTGTGACAAATGATGGTTAAGAGGAGACCCTCAACATTAAGTTGATGTTTTGGCAAAGCTGGGGCAAGGCTGCCTGCACATTGTGTGCATTTTTGGCTACAGTCTCCTCTACGTGAATGTAAGAACTGAAAGCTTTTAAAGTCTTTACTAGCTATAGAATAAATTCCCCACTGGAAGGGCTAAATAAAATCTGTATCCAAATTAAAAAAATATCACATCTGCAGCATGGGTATAAAGGGCTTCAGGGGAAACAATTCCCTTGGATTCAAAGCCATGAAGGCTGGGATACAAATCTCCAGATGCTGGGCAGCAGTGTAAGTCAGCAGCTGGGCTGAAGGGTCTCTGCCTTCATCACTCTGCAAGCTTGCTCCACATGGATAACAGGCAATCAGTGTAAAATAAAGTTAACAAACCTGAATTATCTAGCTTCCTTAAATTTGGATGGCTTTCCTGGTATTTTGACTCTTGTTCTTTACTAGACATCATTGCTTCTTTTAATCTAGTGAAAAAAGAGAAGAAAAAGAAAATATTGGTATGGACCACAGGCCTCATTCTGAGTCTGTTAAACAAGAAAAGATATCAAATTTACACAAGAAGAGCAAGTTTGTTAGACCTGATCCAAAATGTTCCTTTAAAAGGAACTATTGACCATCAGCATTTATGTTCACTGAAAGCAGAACTGGTCACTTTTGTGCTCAAAATAGCAAATGGAAACATTGCTATCAAACCCAAAACTGCAGCTTCTGTCTTGAAGGCAACATATTCCCTTCCTTTAGTGGAGGATGGAGGGGCAAGGGAGGGAGGAAATCAATGTATGCAGCATTATCAGGCTTTACAGAAGTTTCTCAGGTGAAGAGAAACAAATACTGTGAGACACAGTAATTTCACA